AAAAAAAGAGATTTGGCTTTGAGGTGGATCAGTGTTCTTTTTGTACTGATGAAAATGAAACCCTAGAACATCTTTTTTTTCTATGCCCTATCACACAATGCATTTGGTGCAACTTAAAAAATTGGATTTCCCTAAATATTAATGACGTGCCACTATTTGAATTACATCATAAATTTTTTATATGGATCATCTAGCATTGGGTGTCTCAGACATCATTAACATCATCATACTTTTGAGTAAATATCATATCCATTGTGCTAAATGGAGGAACACTAAGCCTTCTCTCCCTGGTTTTATTAATAATTTTAAGATATTTTTTTCTTTGCTAAAAAAGACAAAAAGCACATATGCCAAAAAAAATTAACCAGGATAATGCGTGTCTGCTATTCAAAATTTTGACTTATGCTGAGGCTTATATATTAAGTAATGCAGCTGCTTCTCTTAGGCTACTAGCAGGTTGCTGAGTAGACATCTGTGTAGTGGTTTGTTTGAAATCTACCACTTTTTTCAGTTTCCTTGTCAAGAAACAACTTCCTGTTTAACTGAAATGACTTCTTGTTCAACTTAAATGCCTTCCTTTTTAACTGAAATGCCTTCCTGTTTAACTGAAACACCTTCCTGTTCAAGTGAAATGCCTTGGTTTTTCAGTAGTGTGTGTGAGAGCGTTTCAGTTGTGTGTGAGAGAGCTAAAATTTCAGTAGTGCGTGTGAGAGCGTTTCAGTAGTGTGTGTGAGAGCGTTTCAGTAATAATGTTCCTTATGGCACCTCATATTATTATGTTACATTGTATTAATCATGTCTAAACCCATTGTCTCTTTAATGCCTCCTGATGTCCCAAAAGAAACTCCTCATACAGTTTTACCCAGTAAGTAACCTGCATGTGTCAGCTGACCTATTGTGCAGCAATGGAAGAGAGTCATTTGTCAAACTTAAGGTTTGATTGCACTTATTAAAGAGCAGCCATGAACTGCATGACACAGTTTTATTGGTAGGATTTTTAAATGGTGAGAAAACCTGTTATTGTTGGTTAAAAAAACCTCTTTGAAATTTGAAGTTTATACCACCCTAACATTAACCCTCAGTGGTTTGGTGACCTGATGGATGTTAAAAAGTTCAGAACAGGGAAAGGGTAAAATGAACTCTGAACCACAGAGATATATATTTTTTTATTTTGCAGTGTCTTTTGGTGCAGTGTCACTGACTTCTATAGGAATTTGTGTCTCAGCTTACTCTGTCTCTTTACAGGATGAAGTGAGCAGCCGCATCACAGCAGATGGTAAATTCAAGGTGAGTCAGGATGAAAAACAGCAGGCCTACTCTCAAGCAAACTCAAGCAAACACACCCTGATACACCCCGAATCTGGCAGCACTGCTATTAGAAAGACTGCAAAACTACTGATAATTTGACCTGCTACAAGAGGAAAAACCTACAGCTGCAAAGTGAAATCTGTCTCGGTAATAAAAGTATTAGGTAACTTAACCCCCTGAAGTCATGACATATGACTAACCCGATATTTTGAAGAATGTCAAAAGAGACGTTTTTCTAAACAAATGTAAATAGGAGTCATGCGTGTCAATTAGAATAATCCTTGTTCCCTGATAGTCAAGACTTGGAAAAACAATTCAATAAAAACAAAAATGACATATAAGGCTAGGGCTAGGGTTAAAGTTAGGGTTGGGTTTGGGAGTTGTTAAGGATGACTTTGGCCTCAGAAAGTTAAGGATTTCTATCAGAGGGTAAAAACAAGGCATAAAACACCTTTGTTTTCTGATAACAAATTGCCTGCAGTGTTTTGCAAAAGGTCTAACAGGTCAAGTATTGAACAACTCTTATTAGAAACATTATAGGATCAAGGTTTATCCTGTTAAACTGAACCTGGTTGAAGAGGGAACATTTACTATCTTTGTTGCATGGACCTGAGATGAGGACTTGAGAAGGAAGACAGAGAATTTATCAGAGTAATGTTTTGGACTGTCATGAAGACAGGAATTATGTAATTGTTAGTAGAATATTATTTGACAGCTGATTTCCTTTGTGAAAGAACATTGAAGTTTTTGTGTCTCCTTTTTGTTTGGTTTTTTACTCCTGTTTAAATTGTTGATCTGCGAAATGCAAATTAATAAACAGAAAATTTCCATTCCTCAGATCACAGAGCGAACAGAGTCTCTGAGGAGAAGGTAGGCCTACCAATAAAAAACACACACAAGAATGATCAAAATCTAACACGTGCAGGAAGCTTTCTTTCAGTGTGATATGATGTCCATCACCATTTACACTTAGAAACACCAAACTTTCCTCTGGAAGGACATAAAGAGTTTGTACCACATGCTAAAATCAGACAGAATTACACTTTTGCCATGACTGATTCAGTTGTTTATGCATTCTTCTAAAGTACCAGCAACATAAAGAAGACACTGCCACCTCTTCCTGTTTCCAAGATCGACAAGAGACTGGAACAATATACACACGCCCTGGAGGTAAAACTGCAGAGTGTTTTTCTTCTCAACCAGTAAGAGGATATTTTCTGGGATAATTTTTTGTAATCATTAACAGATTCCGCAGACTAATCACTTGAAATCTCAGAGGATACTTTAGACCAGTGGTTCCCAACCCCCGGGCCTCGGACCGGTACCGGTCCGTGAGTCGTTTGGTACCGGGCCGCGAGAGTTGAGGCTCAGGTGTGAAATGTATGGTTTTCAGGGTTTTTATCGGTTTTCAGGTTATTTTGTTATCGCTTTTATCGTTAACTCAGTTTTCCTGGGTCTTTTCAGGTGTGTTATGAATAAATCTTCTTTTTTCGGTACCGGTACTAGATTTATTTTGATGTATTTATCCGCGACATCTTAAAGGCCGGTCCGTAAAAATATTGTCGGGCATAAACTGGTCCGCGGCGCAAAAAAGGTTGGGGACCGCTGCTTTAGACTGCTATAATTTTTTTTTTAGTAGCAGCGGTTGGTTGATCCTCCCTGAGGATCCCTCCCTCCCTCCCTGATCCTCCTTCCTTCTGCTGGAGGTTTCTTCCTGTAAAAATGCAGTTCTTCCTTGTTCTTCTTTTTAACATTGTGAGGTCTTTGTTAAAATAAACATATTTTAACCTGAGTGTGAAAAAGATGGTGTGGTCTTGGCTCGTTTGAAAATACGGCTATCATTGATCACAGGGAAGAAGTGTTTCTGGGTATTTATCCAAATAAAAAGAAGTCTAAAATTAACGAAAAGGTGATGGTGTTTAATAAAACATAAAGAAAGTGGAGAAAAAACAGTTACATCTATTCAATTTGCCTGTGACTGGCAACAATTATTGCATTAAAAACATTTTTTAAATAAACTGGTTTACATTGTCTTGTGAATCACACATCATTATTGCTATATATATATACTAATATACTAATGTATATATATATTATTATATATATTATATATATATATAATAATATACGCAATATATAATAAATATTAAAGTGAAGGATGCAAATCAAAATTCAAATTCAAATTTTATTTGTCACGTACACAGTCATACACAGTACGATATGTAGTGAAATGCTTGGACAACTGCTCGTGACCTAAAGAAAACAAAAAAGGAAAAGGCTATGAATAAGATAGGAAATAAATATGAAAAATTAAAAAGGGTAAATTTAACTAGGAAGGAATAAAATATAAATTAAGGTTAAAAATGAAATAACTGTACAACACAAATTAGAATGAAGGGTAAATTTAACTGGGAAAGAATAAGATAAAATATATAAATTAAAGTTGAAAATAAAATAACTGTACAACAAAATACACAATATAGAACTATATAAGAATGTATGAAGAAATATAAATAAATATATACACAATAACAGCAGCGTAGTGATTTAAGTAATGAAGTGAAAACAATGTCCAGAATGTCCAGTGTGTGTGTAAGAACTATATGTGTGGGTCAGTACTGTGTGGTGGTGTGATTGAGAGACCGTATCGCCTGCGGGAAGAAGCTCCTCCTCAGTCTCTCTGTGTTGGTCTTCAGGGAGCGGAATCGCTTTCCTGACCTCAACAGAGAGAACAGTCTGTTGTTGGGATGGCTGAGGTCCTTCACGATCTTCCTGGCCTTGGTCCAGCACCGCCTGCTGTAGATTGAGTGCAGGTCAGGGAGCTCGGAGCGGATGGTGCGCTCAGCTGACCGCACAACCCTCTGTAGAGCTCGTCTGTCCTGCATGGTGCTGTTCCCGAACCAGGTTAAGATGTTTCCCGCTCAGGATGCTCTCTATGGTGCACGAGTAAAAGTTCCTGAGCACCTTGGAGGGCAGTTGGAAGTCTCTCAAGCGTCTGAGGTGGTAGAGACGCTGTCGGGCCTTTTTCACCACGGTGTTGATGTGACAGGACCATGACAGGTCCTGCGTGATGTGAACTCCGAGGTATTTGAAGCTGTCCACTCTCTCCACTGGGCACTCGTTGATGACGGGGGTCTGGTAGTTCCTCTCCTGCTTAGTGCTGAAGTCCACTATCAGCTCCTTTGTCTTACTGACGTTTAGAAGGAGGTTGTTCCTCTGGCACCAGTTCTCCAGATTCCTAATCTCCTTCAGGTAGGCCGTCTCGTTGTTATCAGAGATCAGGCCCACCACGACGGTGTCGTCAGCAAACTTGATGATGGTGGTGGAGCTGGTAGTGGCCACACAGTCATATGTGTACAAAGAGTACAGCAGGGGGCTCAGAACACACCCCTGGGGGGCTCCAGTGCTGAGAGTGGTGGAGGCTGAGACATGTCCGCCCATCCTTACTGCCTGTGGTCTGCCAGTTAGGAAGTTGGAGATCCACTGACACATAGATGAGCTGAGTCCCAGATGCTCCAGCTTGGTGGTGAGTGTGGAGGGAATTATGGTGTTAAATGCAGAGCTGTAGTCTATGAAGAGCATTTTAACATAATTCCCCCTTCTAGTGTCCAAGTGAGTGAGTGATGTGTGGAGGAGATGAGAGATGGCATCGTCTGTGGAACGATTTGGACGGTAAGCGAACTGTAGTGGGTCCAGTGTGTCTGGTAGTGAAGAAATGATGAAGTCTCTGACCAGGCGTTCAAAGCACTTCATCACTACTGAGGTGAGGGCTACAGGGCGATAGTCATTGAGAGAAGCAGGGTGGGGTTTCTTCGGGACAGGAACAATGATGGACTCTTTGAAGCATGTGGGGATCACCGACTGAGATAAAGAGATGTTGAATATCTCAGTGAACACAGGAGCTAGCTGGTATGCGCAGTCTCTTAGGATACGACCTGGGATGCCGTCTGGTCCTGCTGCTTTCCTGGTGTTCACTCTCTTGAAGGCTCTCCTTACTTCATGCTCGGAGATGACGAGCACGTTTCCGGTGCTGGCAGTATCTTCCTGTCTGCAGCCGTTAGCGCCGCTAACACTAGCATTGTTGGAGACCTTAGCTGCAGCCTCGAAGCGAGCATAGAAAGTGTTCAGCTCGTCTGCCAGAGTCACGGCCGCGTTCGTCATACCGGTTGTTGGTGCTTTATAGTCCGTTATTGTCCTTAGTCCCCGCCACAGGCTCCTAGAGTCACTCTGTTGGAGTTGTGACTCTAGTTTCCTCCCGTAGCGCTGCTTCGCCTCTTTCACCGCCCTCCGCACGCGGTTTGTACGGGTCCATGTCCCCCGTCGTGAGTCCCGTGTTGTAGCAGCATGGTCGGGTGTGAATGAGTTTTTCATTTTTGTGTATGTGTAGAGTATCATCGTTTCACAATGAAGGCAAAAAAAAATTCCACTAATATTTGGTTGCTTTACAAACTAGCACTCCTTTACTCGCTCACACAGTGACTCTCTCACTAGATTCTCAGAACTGACCTAAACCTTTCTACTTTTCTTTCTGTCATCTTATTTTTCTCAGCTCTCCTCAAAGGAAGGCAGATCAGGCTGCCAGACAGTGACTGATCTCACTGCTCCCACTGAACCAGTTGCATCCAAGAAGAACCTGTTTGAGGCCGGAGACGCCTGGAACCAAAATGCCACCTCGATCACAGCATCTAAGGTTTATGGAAACATAACTTGTGTGTGTGTGTGTGTGTGTGTGTGTGTGTGGTGGGGGGGGGGGTGGGGGGGGGGTTGTTGTTCCTTTATGTTTCCAATAATTTCAAAATAATATATTTTAAACAGAAAACAGGAGGGAAGATTTCCTAGGGGAATGATTTTGATATTACTGTAATACATGATGTTTCTCACTTTCCTCTCAGGACGCAGATGCTCTAAAAGTGGGTGTTGCTGATCTCATCAACCAGTGGGTGAAAGGAAGTGAAGACGGAAGCAGATCTAGCTCCCCCTCCAAACCAGCCGTAAGTCATATCATTATTATTATTATTATTATTATTTCTACATGAATTACATTAAATTGATTACATCAGTTTTTAAACAGGTATTTTGCCCAGTCTTTATGTCTTTTTCCAACCAAAAATGGAAAGGCAACAACTACTTTAAAAATATACAAAACCAAAAGTTTAATTTATGATTTTAATGCATGCTGTTCATACGGTCGGTTTGGGTGGCTCAAAAGTCAACATTTACCAGGATGTCAGGATGATGTCCTCTGCTTCCATGTTTATTAATCCTCCCAGGAAGATTTCTATGGTTCTAAGAGCATGTTTTTGTTCAGATTTTGTCACAGTTAAAAAAAAACAAAAAACCCACACACACAGCAAAAAGAAAAACTTCTTATTCAACAAGCTAGTGGTTAGTGCTTTTTACACAAAACTACTTCTTCTGCTTTAATGGATGTTTCTCTGAACATGAATATTTTCTTGCTTATAACACACTCTTTAAGTATCACACTGTTCACGGTGTCAGCTGCTATCAGCTTTTGTTTAAAGGGTACCCCATTGCTCATATTTTTTCATATTTCATATTTTTTGTCATTGTATATACTGCTATAGCAGTGGATGCTCAACTTAAACATACCCAAAGTATCATGAGGTCAGTGTAGTTTGTATAAATAAAACCAAAAGCTCAGACTTCAGACCTCTCTAAATCAGTAAATAAATAAGATTCATATAATGTGAATCCTTAAAGTGAATACAAAATAAATTACAAAATAGTGAACCTTAAAAGAAGAAAAGTTTGATTTCAGAAGCAATGTTGAATTCTGCCATCTGCAAGGGAATGATGTCATGAGTATTTGGTAAAAGAGCAAATCAAACTTTGCCCCGCTCTTCATGTGTGTGTCATCTGCTTTCACTGCCAGGCTTTGCTATGCACATTGTTGTTTTTTCTACATTGATAGTGCTTGACATTAAGAGTGCTCAGCTATTCCCACATGGCAGTCTTTCATGCCAATATAATTTAAAAAGCCCATTTTTAAAATTTTTCGTCATCCTGTGACCTTAAAATGTCTTTTTTGTTGTTGTTCTTATTTATTTATTGTCAGATTCACAAAAATCTCTAAAATTAGCTATGATTCCATTCCTATCATTATTTATTATTATTTTTATTATTATTGTCAGTTTCATACAGTTTCAGCTTTTTCCTCTATTCTCTAAATTTCTTACTATTTCTTATTCTTTAAAGTCTTTCAGTCCACATCATTCTCTGTTCTTTTCTACTTGAAGTTTTCGCTTCCCACTTTCTCTTCTGTCTGGTGTAAATCAGCCTCAGGTTTGCAGGTTAGGCAGTGAAAGTCTGCCCCCTCATGGCAACATCAGCAGCTTTTACATGTTGCTCTTTCAGACAGAGATACCAAAGTGTGGTTTGTTTACTGTTTCTGTTTTCAGGAAATCAACCCTGGTGGTGTTTTAAACAAGAAAAATTTATGGGAGAGCCTTGGAGACACGTTATCGTCTGGGAAAGAAGGAAAGGTACACGCTCACACGGAGGATAGCGGAACAGAAACTTTTAAACGTTTGTCTTGATCAATATTCTTTTATCGACTGAATTGCAGGAGAGCTCCACTGGCAAAAGATATAAATTTGTGGTGACAGGTCACGGCAAGTATGAGAAGGTTTCTGTTGACAGCGGATGCAGTGAGGACATAAACTGCCAGTCAGGTGAGAGAATCCTTTAACTAGTAATGCTAACATTAGATACGATGCACTATTGTAATGGAAAATGTTGGACACTTGTCATGTCGTAGCAGCCAGAATGTCAAAAATGACCCAGCTCAGTACAATTTTATGAAACAGCAAATAGCTTGGAAAAGTTAAAAATAAAAATAAATAAAAATAAAACAAGCAAAAAGGAGAAAGAAAAGGAGCTCAATAAAATACAAAATAGAAAATGATGAAGAGCTCAATAAAACACACAATAATCGAGAGATAGCTAATCAGGGAAAAAGTGATTAAATATTCTTATAGAGTCATAATAGAGCTGGGTGATATATCGAGTTTTTAAAACATATCGATATATTTTTATACGAGATATAAGATGTGACAATATCCTTTATATCGATATAGTCTATGTTACGTTATAATTATAGTTGTGGAGCCGCAAGTTTGCCTCTCTTTCGTCCACTTTTGTCTCTACGCAACGTTACTCCGCCTCGCCTTCACTGAAGACAACTCCCCCTCCTCCCCCATCGCTTCACGTGCAGGCAGCGACAAGACGGACACGGCAAATCTCCGTTAACGAGTTACTGCGCATCGCCCCATGCGTGGGGCTGGACGGCGTCAACGTGTTAACGAGCTAAACATGCTAACGAGCTAACCGCGCTAACCCTAAAATCCTTTCATTCTCTCAAAAGTTGATAGCGCGCCTTATGTATGAATTCTGGTTGTGCTTGATGGCCGCGAACCGATTTTATGTGGTACACGGCGCTCAGCAATCTGTCAAAAATGTTTGAGTACAACTTTGGTAAGCTACGGAGCTGCACCGCTTGATAGATTGTCGGCGCATTACGGCTACCGAGGAGCTTCGCGGAGTGATACGTACTGTGCATCAACGTAATATTACCGTATTGTGTGTGTATAAGGACCATAAATGGCACCTGTAAGAGACGTGGTTATGAAGCGGATTTCAAACTCCAGGCTATCAGTCACACAGTAAAACTTGGGAACAGAGCAGCTGTGAAATCTGTCTTTGTTATTACGCTCAGCGTCTTTTAGTTTACATTTTGACTGCACAATTGTGAGCTCTTTGTTTAGCACAAAAACAACCTTGTTTTCTTTTATTTATGGAGCATTATTATTGAATGCTCATAATTTAATTTTGAGTAATTTTTCATGCACATCTGTGCTGTATGTTAATAAAAGTGCCTGTGTGACATCTGGGACACAGCTTTGACTAAGAACTCTCTTTTTGTTCTTACTTTATGGCTTAAAAAAAATATCGAGATATATATCTTATATCGCCATCCAGCTAAAAAATATCGAGATATGAATTTTGGGTCATATCGCCCAGCCCTAAGTCATAACATTGTGGGCGGGGCTCAAATGAGACAATCTATGTGTGGAATATTGATGGAAAATAATCTAGCTTAATTTTTGAGCAATGGGAGGAAGTACTTTTACAGTTAGTTTAACCATGGCTTTTCCACATACCAAAGCCTTACTTTTACTTTAAAATGTGAAATACTGGCTAAAGGTTTTACTGTATGAATCTTAAATGTAAGTTAGAATTAAAATTGGTTCAGTCTTGAACAATATTTACACTCAAATTTGGAAATTAAATTACTTAAACCCAATTGTCTGAGTAACACATAAAAGATTTGGTGCTTTTGCTCAAATGCACACTGAAACTTTTTTTTAGCCCATTTCCAGAATTAATCACTTGACCATCAAATGTGAACTAATGTGTTATATTAGTCTGTCACATTTTCTCTATTTTTACCTGTTTGCATTTTTTTTCATCAAAACTGTCATCATCAGGAAACTGCCATCAGAAAAAAAAAAAGATCTTTTCCTGTTTTTGACCAAACGGGGAAGTCAAATGTTAAGACTTTGGAGGGGCTGAAAATAATAAGTATAACAGTGGAACATTCTAATGAGCTATCCTCTCTGATGTGCCGCCACTTGGAACTTTCACAGTATTTCCTCAGAGAAGGAAAAAAAAAAAAGAAAAATCCAACAGTTTCACAAAACTTTATATATTTTTAAAAATCACACAAAGATATATTAAGCATCAGCATAATAAATGGGTCTGTTTTTAGATTACGTGATTTAAGTCCCTTCAATGAAGAAATTCCACATCACAATGGTGATCTCAGAAAATAACCCAAACTAAACAGATGTTGAATCCCAGTAATGTAAGAGAAAGATTTAAACAAAACAGCATCCCGTCCAGCACAATCTTATAGACAGACACGTGAAATATCACAAATCTACTCTTCACTCATTTTCCTTCAGTTTGTCTTCCTACATCAGCCATATTTACTGTCATCATCATTTACCAGTGGTTATATATATACATCCTTCTTGCAATTTAGTCAGAAGCCCTTAACAATTTGTAACAATGCAGAAAACTAATCCTCACCAATAAAACAGTTCATGTTGTTTTAACTATCACACTAGATGAAGATAGTTTATCATATCATCATTGTTTGGTGGAAACTATCATTCTCCAACATGCTCATACAGGAAAATATCTACTTTCATAGGTATCATTTTGTATTGTTGTATTATTGTAGGGTTTTTTTTTTTACCTTACAATAGAAAGCACATTGAGGCAACTGTTGGTGTAACTGACTTTGCTGACGGAGGAGCTAATCTTTACCATTATGAATTAAGAGTGATGGAAAAGGGATTTGATTCTGGGATGCCCCCAGCCTGAGCAATATATGATTAAGATATTAAAAAGAAAAAAGTTTTGAGCCATGCTAGCAGCTCTCTCAGACTGCACTGAGGCACAACAGTGTTTACGCTTTGATAACATTGTGACAAAGCTAGCACAAGTTTACCAGGCATAACACTTAACAGCCATAATCGTTTTAGTCTAGTGTGTTCGCATGCTAGCATGCTATTGTTAATTAATAAGCCATTATGTATGGTACTTTGGTATCTGAGAACTGGACAAAATAAAGTTTGGACCTAATGAAGTCCCAGACTTGACCATGACTATTTGTGGCAGATAAAAACAACAATAATTTGGTTGTGTTCTAACAGGGGCATTGATATCAGTACAAAATATATTGCTTCTTTACGTAGAAGGTGAAGATATTAGGTCAAGAACACCCAACAGACCACCGTACCATTGGAAGAATGGTCTATCCACGTCCTAAAGTTGCTAGCATGGCTAAAACCATAAACATTGCTCCTGTAGTTAACACAATATTTTTTCATTAATGCCCACCTCTGCAGTATGCCAACCTATACACTGATTGTTGTTTCCTGCCTTGCTTGAAAACCAACACTTTTTTCTCATCAATATCTGACTTACAGAAACCTACTTTTATTCTGACCACACGTTGAATCTTCATTTGTCTCAGGAAGTGTGCCTTCTTTCAAAATCCATCTGCCCTGTTGTTGCAGGAATGTCAAAGCCCTTTTTATTACACAGATAAACTGCCTGCCAGCAATGAATACTAGAAGCTTTAAATTGTTTAGAAAAATAGAAAAAGGTCAAGCATTACAAATAAAACAAACAAATCTACAGTCTACAATAAAAGCATTTAAAACTCCCAACTAGCCCACGATCAAATGAAAAAAGAAAAATTTAAGCAAGTAGATTTAGACTTTATAATGTGTTTCTTTAATATTTTTCCTCCTTTTTGCGTTATGTTTTATTTTGTCAAGTTTACTTTTTTGGTCAAGTAAACCTGCACTTCTTCACCACTAAGAGTACTTGAAAACATCTATTGTGTAGCAGGGATTTCTTTTCTTTTTTTCTTTACTTTTTCATTACTTTCTTTACCTTTATACTTTAAACTACACCACGGCAATGACAAAGTTCCAGCCTTGGGTCAAACACTTGTTGCAGCGTTGCTGTCATTTTGCATCCTTCATCACCTTTCCAAGAATAGTCAGCCAATGTTTTGTTTTTGTTTGTTTTTTTCAAATCACTTTCAGTGTTCTGTCTATTGAGTTATGAATTAGCGATTTGATATATAATTTTCAAATCATTATCATTTCCATCATTACATATCTGCAGCTTTTGTTGAACCAAATCCTTTGGCTGTTCTGTTGAAGTCCTTCCGTTCTTCCTCCTGAGATTTCCGTTTTATCAGCCCCCTTTCAAACACTGCTGCTATTTTTGTGAGTGGCTTCTCCACTGCTTCTTTCAGCTTCCTGGCGTCAAATCGAGGGCTGTACAGTAAAATTGGGAGACGATTGACAAATGAAGGAACCTCTGCCTGATTATCTTTAGCAGACTTTTTCTTGTCTGAATCAGTCTTGTTGGCGTTGATCTGGTGCATAATTCGCTCTTTAGTGGAGAACATCTGAAAGAGGAGTGCATCCCACATCTTCAGTGCTTTAGGACCTTCTTTGTTCGTAGCTACCTCCTGATCATGTTGGTCTGCTGTCAACTTGTTATCAATTTGTTCTATTTTCTTATTGCTGCCACTGGAATTAACCTGAGGTTTAGCCTCTGGCTCTGGAAACTGGGGTTCCTCTGGCTCAACGACCATGTGCTTCTTCAGTCGTGTCCAACCACTAAGCTTACTCTTAAGGCCTTTTGGCTTCTGGGCTGCTTTCTGCTCACTGGATGAAGGAGATTTTTCTGCTGCAACAGGCTTCTTGTCAGCAATTGAAGATGCAGTTGATGTCACTGACTTCGTGGAGGCTTCGACTATCGGGGTTCCTGTTGGTGCAGCTGGTTTGGACTTGAGAACATCCTTGCCTTTGAGTCCAGTTTTTTGCTGAGATAGCGGTGACGTTCCTCTGTTTGGGGATGGAGCTTTTACTGAGATTGAGGCCTGAGGCAGAGAGGCAGGAGTGGCAGAATCAATCACATCGGCTTTAATCATGGGTGGTTTCATGACAGTATCTGTTGCTGGATTTGTGGGGGAAATGCTCTCTACAAGTTGCTCTGTCATAGAATGAACACTAATAGTTGGTGAGCTAACCTGAGCCACATACTGGGGACACTTTGAGGATTCTATTTGTACACCTGAGGACTGTCTTGGAGACCCAAGACCGACCTGCTTAATGGGAGGTTTTGCTTCTGCTCTAGGTCCACTAAGCAGCGAAGAATAGCTGTGATGGGTGAGAATACTAGCGTCAGTGCTTAGTTGGGGGAGTTTTACATCTTGAGCTGAAATTTTATTGTGTTGCATTGGGGAGTTTATTTTTACCTCAGTGGTTGAAGTATCATTAGTTCTAAGGGGTTTTATTTCTGTTTTTGAGGTATTCTCTAAGATAGCAAATGGCTCAGTGGTTCTAGTAGGTGTATTATTTTGAAAAGCTGTAATTGGAGGGTTTATCTGATCGTTCATTATGGTAGTAGAGGGGTTTATTTCTGTCACATGGTTTAACGTCACAGAGCTTTGAGGGGACAGGGGTATGGTAGGAGTACATGATTGTTTAGGTGTATTACACACTCTTCTCTCTGGTAGAGGGGAAGGTTTAGTTGCTGTATTGGGGCTATGCGGGACTTTTAAATTACTGGTGGCTTCATTGAACCATTGAAAATTTGTAGCAGGCTGTTTATTTGAAGCACCATAAGAGATTGTAGGATAATTTACAACACACATGTTAGTTTCTATTGATTTGTTTGTTTCAGTGGCAGAACTAAGTTGTTTCAGTAGAGTCTGAGAGCCCACTGAATTCACAGTCTGAGCATTATTTCCAATAATTTGACTAGATCTTGCCAGTTGTGTAGTTTGCTGCTCCATAGATGCGCAATATGGTGCAGTATGAACAGTACAAAGGGAAGTTGTTGTATCCGTAGATATTTCAGAGTTTTTCAGTTTTCTAGGTGGAGTTGCTGAAGATTTATTGCTTATAACTGGCTCGCTGGAAGAGACTTGTTTATTCACATGGTTTCTAGTAGCAATTTGTTGTTCAGGTGTGTCAGATGATTTGCCAAACTGGTTACCATCAACAGAGCCACAAAGAGAAGTATTCATGGCTGGCTTTATTGAAGATAGACTCTCAGATCTGTCATTTTTCATCTGAGGGCCTTTTGGTATCATATGCCTCATTGTAGGGCTAGGAGGCAATGTTTGCTTACCAGCCTGTGAAGCATTAAATATTGGATTACCACTCACTGCTGCATCTGCCGTTATTGGCGGGGCAGTTTCCATGTTAAGCCTGTTGGGGACTTTGGTTTCAGCAGGAGGAATAAACTGAGTATTGCTGTTCTGGAAATTGTTTGACTGTGTCTTTTCCCATTGAATTGCCTCCAGATTTCTTAATAATCTTGGTGGAACTGCATCTGTGAAAGAGTTTGCATTTGGTTTGCTGGCTAGTTTGTTTTCATTTAAGGGTATGCTAACCGCTGTGGTCCTTTTTGAAAGACTAGGAGCAGCTTGTTTTGTTTCAAACTCACAATTTTCTTGCATGTTTTCTGTTTTGGAAATTGTAGTGGAAAGACATTCTATTGCCATATTATCAGTTAATAAACCTTCTCTCTCAGTGATGGCCTGTGGATGTACTTTGTCAACTGCTGAGTTTTTGTCTCTGTTAGCATCAGTATTAATATAATTTGTCAATTTGGGTTCTGTATTTGCTTGGCTTGATATTACTCCATCTTTAGTATTAAGAATGATTTCAGTTGCTTTTTGAGCAATTACTCTGCTAGAGTTTGTGTAAAAACGTATCCCTTGAACGACATTACTTTGATTACTGGATTCTATAGTCTGTGTGTTTATATTTTTGCTAATATTTGTTAGCTTTTGAGGCTCTTTTGCTGGCACATTGAATGAGTCTGATTTTAAAGGGGTTTTGTTTGAAATCTTGGGTGACTGAATTATGGCGGTATGTAGGGCAGGAGGGTTTGGTTCTGTATTTACAAACATATTTGATAACATGGGCAGACAGCTCTTATTTTCAACTGGTTGATTATGTGTATAAACCTGCATTTCTGCTTTGGGTGGTTGTATAAATTTGGGTCTTTGGTCAGCTACAGGTTGTGTGTAGATACTATACTCAGCAGAACATACAGATGCTGTGACAGGCCCATATGATACCACAGATCTTGGGGCTGTGATAACTGTCTTCTTAGGGTGCATATTTAAAAAAGTGGGCTCACTGATTGATATATCAGGGATGCATTCGGCCATTAAAGGCATAATGTTCCCAATGTTTGTCTTAGTGGACACTTTAGTTTGCTTTTTGACATCTTCTCTTTGTTTGTGTAGTGTGGCTTCGGCAGGTATTTTAATCAACATTTTGTTTGACTGCTGCATTCCTGAGTTGAACTCATCATTAATTATGTCGCTTTCTGAGAATTTGGACTCTGTCTGTGTGGGAGGAGATTGAACTAATGGGTTTTCACAGTTGGACAGGTTTTTCTCGGGCTTGGCATTGATTTGGACATTTGGCAAACTGACTCCACCAGCAGTTTCGTAAGTTTGGACTGGACCTAGCTCTGTTTTTCCTGACTGGTCTCTTTTATTAGTCTGTGAAACTGGAGGTGTTTTATTGGGCTTGTAACCATTTTCTATAAAATGTACCACTTTTGCTTCAGGGTGTGTTTCTGCATTTAGATGTATTTTAGTTAAGGCTGAGGAAGAACTTGACAAACCATTGTTATCAGTGAGGCATTTTAGTGCTGCCTCTACAGAAAACTGTGCCACACTTTGTGTGAGTACCTCACCTGCTTTAGGTATTGGTATTGGAGCCTCAGAGTATGAGGCTTTTGGTGTGGATACATCACTTGGGGATTGTTGTATTGTTTTCTGTGCCAAGCCAAGGGGAATCTCAGGTTTTACTGTGTCCACGTTAGATGTTTTAAGTGATTGCATTCCATTACTGTGAGCTTCAGACCAATTTTCCTCAAAGACATCTTTCCTACAAGATATAACCTGTTCAGCTGGATGTTCAGAATAGTTTGATGATGACACAGGTTGTAAACTGTGAACTGAAGAGGGCAGAACCTCATGTCCATTGAGCTGTTTTTCTGGCTTTGAGAAATCTGAGCCATCTATGCATACATCTGAGTGTAGTTTATCGGCAAAGCTTTCATTATTCCTCGGGGATACGTGGCTGTGATGTGATGTGATAGTCCTAATTCCACCATAGGCAGCATATTCAGCTGGAGTCAGCCCATAATATGTAGATCGTGATTTGGGCTTTGAATTTGCTAATGACATTTGACTCTCCAGCAGTGATGTCAAAGACTTGCGTGCCTCGATGACAGGAGGGCGATAGGTGGTGGACACTGGGCTGGAACATGGTGGTATTTGGACTGATGTCACTGGTGTAGGGTTAGGAGTCTTTGGCACGTAAAGAAATGATGGAATCTTTGGCAAAGACAAAACTTCATTTCCAGAAAAGTGTCCTGCATTTTGTTTTGGAGTGACAAGTCCTGTTGGTGTTGGTTTGACCATGGGGATGTTAGGTACAGTCATTTTCTCTCTATGGCACAGCTCTGAACTGCCAACACTTAAATTTATAGAACTCCTCTGGGTATGAATGTCTACCTCTTTGTAATTGCTGGCTTGCTTGAAAGCAGACATGTTATTATTATGAGTCTGCCTTTGTTCTTCTGTGGCAGCTGGGGGTTTACTTATAGCACTAGTGTGAATCACTGAATTGTGTCTTGGAGCCTCCTTGGGGAGAACAGGTACTTGCATATCTTCAGAAGAGCTGAATGCAGGACTTGCGGCAAATAAAAGCGGGTTAGGTTTTGATATTTCAAAAATGGGTGTGGATACTCGATTTGGCATGCAAGAGGGAGTCTTGGGTCTTCCGTGCTGTGTCCTAGAAAATGATGTGTTCTGCTCTGTTTTCACCACTGACACAGCTGTTTTCTCCTTGAATGTGGCAGATAATTGTGCACCATGGTAAGCTGAATTTATTGCAGTGAGGTCTTGGATGGAGGAAGGTTTAGAAATTTCATAAAATGTTGCCTTTGATGTATAAATTCTAGTTTGTGTGACTTCAGGCTTTGGCTCTTTCACTGCTTCAACAAGTGATATTTTTGAGGCGGTTACTTCAGGAGACATGTGGCTTGGAACAAAGTGGCTATTACTGGTAGGTCTGGCGGTCCAAGACGATATCTGGCTCTGAGGGTTATCCTCTGAACCGGTATCGTTCTCCCTCTGGCTCGAAATAAAAGGTTGTGTGTGACTGTTGTAAATTGATCTCAGCACTGGAACAGAAGGTTGTTCTGCAGCTTGAGGAGGTGCCAGGTCTGGGCCATAGTGGGTGGCAGCTGGGGAGAGGGTCAAGCCATGAGTTGATATTTTAGGGCTGGACTGCAACATAGTGACTGGAGGGACTGTTGTGGCTGACCCATGGGAATTTTGTGTCATGTTTACATTGACAATAGAAGAAAGAAGTGACGTTTTAGGCTTATCGGGTGGCAAGAGGGCTGGTGAACTCAAAGGTGGCATTGTAAAAGGAGTAGCATCATCAAATAAGAAAGAGGAGCACTCATACAGCGGAGCTACCTGCTCGTCTACTGTCCTGATCTGAGCTGCAAGGGGCTGAGGAGGGAAGCCACCAGTTTGGCCATACGAGATACTCTGAGAATGAGGGAATGCAGATGGAGAGTGACTATAAAGGGAACCAAAGGGAAAACCAAAAACAGATGAATCAGCAATGTAGACTGAATCTGGTGTCTTTGGTGGGCTAGACTGGTCGCTGTGTTCGAGGTCTGTGCTTGCTTCGTTGACAGGCGACAAACAGGAGCGAAATGGGATGGGCGTCTGTGTGAGGCTGCCTTTTTTCTTGGCTCTCTTCTTCTTGAGTTTCTGAAGTCTTGCGTTGTCTTTTCCCGGCTTTGGCAATAAGGGCGGAGGATATGGCTGGGAAAGGTCAGACTCCAGCCCGTTGCTGTAGTTGATTTCCATCAGCATTTCACACTACAAAACAGGTGACATACGTCAGTGAGAGATGATGGATTAGTCTAAATAATGCAAAAGAAGAGTTCTGACTAAGACTAGTTTGCTTAGTCAATATTTGTAATTAGACAAAGACAACATTTCCTCAAAAAAGAAATTAACTCTATAAAAACATCAAACAAATACTTTTGTGATGATGTTAGACATCACCATTGCTAAACACACTGATGATGAAAAAGGTTTTGGAATTCCCTTTTAAGGCTTAAGAAATAGACTATTAAGTCTTCAGAGCAGCTTTTTTTGTTTTTTTTATGAGATGTTGCAATGCATGATAATCTCAGTCGCTGCACAGCTGCAAATGTTGTTTTTGTTCCACAACAAAGTTGACACAAAATGTACACATGAAGTGCCAGAAATATTATGAGCAAACTATCTTCATTAATTAGAGATAATAGGTGTTTGATAAAGGTAATTCATTCTACAAGTGTAAATGCTAATAATATGTTTGTTTGTTTTTTCCTTCACAGCTGGCCACTTCTATGAAGATTTGTAAAACGCATGTTGGATTTTGAAAGTACAATGCCACTATCACTTGACAATTCTCTGTATTTCTGCCTTTAGGTTGGGGAAAGTACTTAAATTTTCTGTTTCTTGTGGCACTTTGTTGTAATATTGCAAAATGTAGTGAAGCAAAAAGTAGGTCCTATCTCTGTTTATACTATATTTTTCTGTGAATGATACCTGATGGAACTTAATACATCTTTGACTACAGATAAATAAATTCAGTTACACTGAGTGCTGATGATTGATTATGGTATTTTATCTGTTTATAATTTTCTTCTTTTGCATTCATTGATTTGCTGCTTAGGTGCACTTAAAATCTTTTGCTGTGTGCCCAGAATTCATCTGCATGCTAGCTGTACTGATTTAACCTCTGCGGATGGGCTCCAGGCTAAGTTTTCAGCTAGGTTTGGGAAACTATGAGCTCATATGACAGCAGGCTCATTAGCAGGTTTCATAACTTTTAATTGGGTCCTGAAGATGCTGCACAGTTACAAGAAGTGTCACTATTTGAAATAGAAAGGCATGTAAAGTCCTTCCTTATGGCAAGACTGCTTTGAAAGGATGACAAACTGCTACTAAAAATAGTGTCTCAAGAAGACTGCAGGATTTAAAAATGGCCTCTGTACCAAATAAAAGTAAACCCAAGGAAGCTCACTGACACATACAGGAGGGTGACCAGATTCATGTTGAGGAGAGGGGTGGTAGCTTTGAGTCCATGACCAAAGTTTTAAAAAGTGAGAGGGAGTAAACGCGGCTGAAAATGATCAACCACTGATGGCACAAATGGTAAAGTGTCCTCACCTACATAACACCTTTTTAGCATTTGTGGTTGTAAAGAGTGTTTTACAATGTGTTTGTTCACACAGTCATTCACACAACAATGGCAACAGGAGCCATCAGGGGCAACTTTAGGTTCAGCATAGGAAACTTTGGCACAAAGAGAACAACTGAGGATAGATCTACAAATACAGCATTTGATGGATTATCTACTATACTGTCTAAGCCACACCTTACCAAACAGAATTAGAGGTCAAAGACTAAAAACATGATTATCAGACATACCTATAAAAGAAGCAAATTTTAGACGCAAATGACAGAGAATTACTCTACAAAGTTGAACTCCGGCTTGAAACCGGCTTAGTTTCAGTTGGATATAATGTTGTTTTGTTGTGGACTCAAGCAGTCTGTGCTGCTGAGTATGAGCTGAATCGTTCCCTTTCCTCCTGAACTCTGGAGTATCTTTGGGTGGCTGCAGAAAATGTCTGCACTCTAATTTTAGTCTTAGGGAAATAAGAGCAAACATCCTGACACCGAGCACCTGCTGCCTGCTGTCCTGCACTCACTGAAACAGCCTCAGTCTGCTGGAAATTAATCCCAGGGCCAAATCCTCTGAGTTGCTCCCAATGTGAGCTTAGCCTCATGTTTCGAAGTGATGATTTCTCTTAAATTTTTATTGTCCTGCTTGCACCAGTTTGGTCCGAAGAAAGCATCAGACGTTTAGCCCTTACATGAGCTTGATTTCCTCTAAATACATTAATTGTAGCAAATCTTCTGTGAAATCTTCTGCCCCACCTTCAAATTTTAACACCCTGGGATATTTGGAAGGTCTTCTGCAAATGTTTATCATGAACCCCTGTTGTCAAAGTGACTCCTGCTGTCACAGTGACAAGAAGGCCAGCTGACACTCAAGAAGACCCCCCTTTTAAGGCTCTGGGGTTGGACGTGGGAGGTCTCCAGAGCAGCAACTCAAAAGAGGAAAGTATAAGATTAGCTGCTTGCATTCAAACTGTGTCATGACCTCAATCTTTAAAGAGCTCAATTAGGCAAAATGGAGGCCGAGCATGACAATTGTTATCAGAGTGCTGCACATATTCGAAACACTTACCTGAAGTGTTAAGTGTTAGGTAGATGTTGTTTGTGTTTTATTGGTCAAACTGCAAAGCAAACAACATTTTTGTGTAAGAAAATAATTGAAGAATTAATTTAGACAAGAATAAATGTGTTGTTGCACAGTTTTGATTGAAAACTGGTTCGTGCTTTGATTTTTGCTGTCATAGCACAAAACTGTGCTGAAAAGTTCATTTTAAACTTTGCATTGCAAGCTTTCCTTCTCACAGATATTATGTCTGATATGCATCATGCGTTTAAGATTTCACATCGTGCACTTGTTGCTATCAAATCCCAGGAATATGTTAAAGAACCACCAGCTTGTCAATCAAACAGACACTGAGTTTGACTGGTTTACCTTCAGTGAGTGGCTGTCAGGACCAACTGCTCTCTGCTTGTTAATCCCAGCTCAGGGTGCCACAGGGCCGTCCCGTCCTGAAGTGAATTTGAGCCTTGGGGAGCAAGCTACAGTGGCCGTGGCTACTCCAAAAATAAAAATGTTTCCTGCAGTGTGTGTTGCAATGGCAGATGGGGGGGTTTCCATGCCACCTGAGATGGCGGAGGTGCCGCCCCTACAGGCAGCTGAAGGCCACCTCTACCTGAAGAAAGGTGGTAACTTTTATTTACAGTAACTTAGTCATTCGGATGGACATCAGCTGGACTGGGGTCACTGGTTTGTAACCCACATTTAATTGTTGTTTAAATCACAGCAATACAGAAAAAACATGCATGGTTACCTGGCTAATTAGTAGTCCACTATAATGATATGGTTAGTGACTCAATCATAAAGTTGTGATTACAGTTTTTTCTGAATGCTTAAACCCTAACTGTGATTCCTGTAGCACAATCTCTAAAACTATTCAGACTTATAGCAAAACCACTCGCTGAGTTTGCAAAACTAAAAGCACAAAAACTGCTTTGCACTCAGTTTGCAATTTTGTAACACACACTTTGCAAAACTGTAGGCACAATTCACTGCACAACACT